AATAAATTAAGCTCAGTGCTGCAGGGCTTGAAAGTCATCAATTGTTCATTTTCTGTTATTTTTTTTTGTTACCCTAAGATTTATAAGAGATTTTTTCATAAAAGTTGAAATGATTCCTTCAAGGAAGACGTCATAAACAAGTTCAATACTTAGTTTTTCAGTAACTCAGCACTATGGTGGAATAGGCCATACGTACTTTTCACAACAGGTCTGGCCTCACAATCATCCATATGATATGTACGTAGGCGACTCCTCTTGCTATTTTCACTCAGTCTCTGATAAAAGATGGCTTGCACGCACAAGTACAAGCATAAGCGCACGGAACTAAACTGGTGCCACGAGAGCATAGGAACAAGAACAGGAAGCTTTTAAATTGTGACAGTTTTGCTAATACTATATGGCGTTGTCTCGCCTCATGTAATGAATTCCGGAATCCGGCAAATTTTTGCGTTTGGAATCCGGAATCCTCTAAAGTTTTGCCCGAGGAACCGGAATCCTGGGTTTGGAATACCACTAAAGATGGGAATTCGGAATCCAAGTTCCACCGACATAGATCTGGAATCATTACCTGGAATCCGAAAGGAATTCCTTGCATGGAATCCAGAATCCAAGACTGTCCTGGGTTCCCTTACATGGGACGATTGGTCTTTTCATACATGACCGGTGCGATGCAAACATCTAAACTTAAGCCCAAGCAACAAAACAGCGGTTCGCCTTCCATCGTCCTGCCATTGCCTAAACTTTGTCCTTACGAGCCTGCGTATTAATCTTACGGTAATCAAGAGCCATTATGGCTCCTAAATGTGATCGAAGATGATTGCTATTTTTTGGGTGTACATATGAGGCTATCAACTTGATGTAAGATTTTGTTCACTCTTGGGCTGTTTGCAAATTATTTTTCTCTAAAATCACTTAGCCTTTCCCTCAAAAGTCACATGAATGTGCTATGTGCTCTAAAGTTAACTGAATTGTGGAATACAAGTTTATTGTTTGATTTAAATTATAAATATATTAATGGGAGCCTCGCTTTTAGCCCTGGCTAAATCTATACATTCTTGTACTTGTGCTGCTGAACTCGGGGACTTGCATTGCAATTAAAGATCATTAGTTCTAGTTCGTAACAAACAATGGCCAGCTCTAAGATCTCCATGTAATGTATTTATTCAGACAACCCACAAGTGGTACAGGCAATATAAGGAAAAGGAAAGTATCCGATGACATCGTAGACTCAACCGTAGCAGGTAAGTTTTGGTCACTTATAGTTTTCAGAACCAATTCAGAGTAAATACCTAGAAGACAGTTCCAGCTGCCAATACACCTTGCCTTTCGAAGAAATTCGAATTTTGTCTGCAAGATAAACGGGCAATGACGTTATTGCTAAGAAATTTCTGTCTCGACGTAACACTGATCACAACAAATTTTCATCTTTATTTTACACAGCTGTCAGTGCTGGTTATAGTTTTCCCAAGTCCTTGCTAATAGCGATGTAGCTAATGTTCAAAATTCAGTTCAGGGCTTAAAAAACAAGGCATATAACAAATGTGCTGTGTTGGTATACTTTTATTATTTAATGAAATGCAAATACCGTATTTATTCGATTAACCGCCCTGGGTGCTTATAAATTTTTGGACCATGAGAGTGGGCGCTTATTCGAGGTGGGCGCTTATTCGAGGCTGAGCGCTTATTAAGTTTTTACCATTTTCAGCAAGTGTAGTATGTTTATTTTGCAACAAAACAATAAATGCTGATAAAAAAAACGCGAAGAAGTAACAAAGCAGGGTTTCTGTAAAATACTCTGAAGAAAACTCCCTCCTCGGGGAAGTCTCTTATTAGTACTTATTCAATTTCAATTTCAGTCTCATTGTCACTCAAGTGGGTGGGGCGGGGTGGGCGCTTATTTGAGTTTGATTGGGGGCAGGAGTGGGTGGGGGTGGGGTAGGGCGCTTATTAACTTTTCCTGCCTTTAGGTTGGGCGCTTATTCGAATAAATACGGTAAGCAAGAGCTGCTTTTCTGCAATACAGTAAAACTCCCCGACTAATTCTGGATTTTAAGAATCTGTTAGGCTAAACTTTGCCAGTTAGGCCCCCTCTACACAACAACCTGTTTAGCGTAAAACTTTAAACAGGTTCTTATTTTCTAAAATCTATGAAAAGTTCTGCACACTTGGGCAAATGAGATAAGTCAACATTCAGAATGCTCTTTGGAGACATAGGTACCTTATCACTCCAAATGCAATGTAAATGCCAGCGTTTAAAATCAAATAAAATTGTTATTGATACAATTGGAAATTTAATACAGTATATAAATTATATGAGAAATAAGAACCTATAGTCTAGACTTGTGCCAACTACCATTTATATAAGAACCTGTTTAGGCTAAATTGGAAAAATCGGCAGGTTCTTAGTCGCAGGGTTTTACTCTACCACAAATTAGTGCAAACTTGGGAGGTATTGCCCTTGAAAATCCAGTCACTTTTAGTTTGCTAAAGTCAGTTACCAATTTTCTTCTTTACACAGAAACAAAGTTCCGAAAAACTTCCAAAAACCCGCCAAAAGTAGCTGAGGATGTTACTGTGCTTAGAAATAAGGATATTCGTGAGGAGGCCAAAAGCCTGGACAATGGCCAACTTCCAATCGATATCTTGTTATTGACTGTAAAGGACTGCGAGTTTTTAGCCTGTCTTTCTTTCATGACGAGTTTTACCAAGAGGTACGAAAATGACCTTGGTTTTGTTTACATCGGGAGTATGTGCGAGTCAAGTGTTAATATGAAAATCGCTGTCATGAAGTGCAGAATGGGTGCGACTGTTCCTGGAGGTTCAGCTGGTGTTGTTAGAGACGCAGTCAAGGCTTTAACCCCCAAGCGGTGTTTTGTGTGGGTTACTGTGGGGGCTTAAACCCAGACAAAGTCAAATTAGGAGATGTAGTTATTTCCGAGAAATTAATCACATACGCTCCTTCCAAAGTCACCGAGAATGGAATCGAGGAACTTGGCGATCGCGTTCCCCCGAGCACAAAACTTGGAAAGTTAATCCTGAATGCTGCTGATGGTTGGGAGGCACCGTTGCAGGATCCAGCGGAGCTAGAAGTTGAAGTAAAGCGTGGTGCGTTACTCAGTGGACCACAACTGGTTGATAAGAATGAATTGCGTGAAGCACTTATCAAGAGATTCCCAAACGGAATTGCTATCGAGATGGAAGGAGAAGGTAAACTGATTACACCTACATTCTAAGAGGCAACTGCTTTAGTTAAGTTCCACTGACCGTGAGGAGACTGAGAAGGAGAAATGAAGAAAATAAAGAGGAAGAGGCTCTTTCCTCATTCCCTCACCTGTTCTGGGGAGAGTGATGCCTGCGAAGGAGGCTAAGTTTAACAGAGAAACCATCTCTCTCCATCTTTGTATATTCCAGTTTGTTAGTTAAGTAATACAGTGGGAACCTCGATATAAAGAGCCTCTATGTAATGAAGTCCTCGGTATGACGAACGATTTTCCTTACCATAGTAATAGTAAAATATTATTAAAAAAATACCCTCGACGGATATAACGAAACCTAGTTAGAGTAAACACATTTTGCCAGTCCCCTCGGCCCTTCCATATATCGACTGGGTTTCACTGTAGTTGAAACGGTTATCCAGCAGACTCAGAACCAGCATTACTTGCGTTTTAAGGTTTGACAAACTGTTCTAGGAGTCAAAAATTCAATGGAACAGTCTATGGAATGGGTGTTTATATTTAGAAATTTTATGGTGAAATTACTTTAAACTTCGCCAATCATTCTGTAAACTAACAACGCGTGTGAAGATCAAATCCGGGAGACAAACTCTTTAGTTTTTAGTACGGTGGATTTAGATGCCGAAATCAGAACTTTCACTCAAAAATGTTTCAACTACAACTCATTATCTTCTTCACTTTCAGGTGTTTACGGAGCAGCACATGACCTGGGTGTTGAGTGGATAATTATAAAAGGCGTGTCGGACTTCGCAGATGGCACGACGTCCGAGACAAATTCATGGAGACCCTTTGCGAGTTTAATGGCTGCTTCCTTAGTTGCTCATATTCTCAAAAATCCAATTATTTTTGAGAACTGGGGTCATTATAATGATGGAAAATCAAGTCTTCTTTCCTCCTTAGGTGAGATAGTTCTGATTCATTGTGTAGGCAACGGTTCGGTGTTTCTGGTTGTGTAGATTGAGAAGTATCATTATCACAAGTCAAAGAGTCTTTTCAAATTACAAGGCAAGACTCGTTTGAGTTTTTGCAGGTACGCCTATTCCCTTTTTTCAAGAAAATTTAACCCCGCGGGTACAATCCTTTAAAAACATCCTCTTGTAACCGCTAACAAGAAACTGTTCCGAGTTAGCAACCAAGCGGATAGGTTATTATTACAAGTAAAGGGGCCCCACACAATACGTTGAGAAATTCCGCATTTAATTTTGTAGTAGTTAAGTCTATGAATTTTTTTGAGTTATAGCATAACGACAGACTACTTTACTTAAAAGATGGATCAATGCTAGACAAAAGCTTTTAAATTTTGAAAGTACTAACGTGTGGTTTATTGCCGTTCTTGGCTTAGAAACGGCATTTGAGCGATTTTAATAAATGTCTCGTTCACTCCAAAAAACGGCGAAGACAAAAATTGTTTGCTTCCTAATTCATAGTTGATACGTGAGAAAAGATGGCGAAGTGGTGAGAGGACTCGCCCTCCTTCAGTGTGTCCTGCTTCAAACCTGGCGATGACTTCCTGATATGAGTTTTGAGTTTGTTGTTGGTAACTTGCCAAAATTTCTAAATTCCAGTTAATTCAGGAAGGGTCGACGCAAAGCTACGTCCTGGATGTGTTATTGTTTTAAAACACAGGCTTTAGAAACTCGGAAATTGCTCCATACAGGTTGGAGGGCGAGATTTCAATAAAAGGGCCCCCTCTTAGTCTACTAAATATGGGGTTTATTGGCACAATCGACTTTGATTGAATGGATCTTGGGACACCTATCTGCTGGTATCTCTGTAAATTTTTGCGGGGTGAACTTCGGTCGAACTCACTATTTACGTACTTAACTCTCATGCATTTAAAATTAAAAAGTTTTACACAGATTTCTTAAAGTCCTTCACTCAATAGATCGCACTGTAAACAGAAAACAGAGGAACGTTTGAAAATTTTATTAATGGAACGCGAACTACAAGACAAAGTCTATTAAAAAAGAACCTCGACATGACCGCTTATTATACCGCCCTGGGTTTCAATGAATGCTACGAAGAAACATTGACTATTAGTATCTACGAAAAAAATCACGAATTTGTTTTGCTCTGATAAAGGTGAACGTGTACTACAATCCAGTCATAGGGGACATGCGTCACAATCCAACGACAGCAAGATGCCTGTGTCTAGTGGAAAAGGTATGAGCGATGATTTTCAATACAACTTTTTGCATTAATGAAATTTTCTTTCAATCACCTCAAGTGATGATTTTAAACTGGCTCCTGCTGATTCAGCAAATTTATCTTTTCATAAGTACCAAGTACCATCGAAAAAAATTTTACAGCAAGATTGTCGCCTGACTAGGGTTCCTTCAATCCCCTTTGTGAGTCCCATTAAAATATTCTCCTTAAATACCCTCATCCAGACGGCCTATATTGGATAATCCGGATCCCGAATATAAATACGTTCTCAAATGTGCCTTAGAACAGTTTTAAAAGAGAGGTGCAGACAAAGCTCAGAGATGCAGGAACCCTGGCTCAGCATAAAAACAGATGATATTCATACAAAACTGTGCTACAGAAACAGCACTTAACGTTTCTTAGCAAGAGACTATAAAGGGGACAGAGAGGGCATCCCCCATATACACCCTATTCCATAGGTAATTCGTCTCGAGTTATTTTTAGAATCGGGATAAAGTTACCTCGCGCGAGGCGTGGATGTTTCGTGGAGGTTTCGCATGACCAAACGCCGTGCAAAACATGTCGGGCGAGAGGCAATGAAAGCGTAAAAAGATCGAGAGCATTCCTGAATATTGAAGCGAAATGAGTCGGCGCTCACCTGGGAAAAAGGAATCGCTGGACTCTTTGACAACCCGTGAAATCAGTTTAACTCGAAGTTGTCGTAACCTCAGTGCTTTAATAAAATGAGAAATTTCGCCGGTCTATTGAAACCGGTCGTTTGTACAATTTAGGGAGTTTAAGATCCAACGACGCGGACGACAACTAGAACGTCAAAAAAACAATAGGTTTAATTAGCAAAACAACAACTTCGCACGTGCAACACACTTTTTTGTTCATTTCTTTCCCGTTTTTGCACGACTACGACGTGAAAATGCCTAATTTCGCGTTTTATGGAGGACGTAAATAAGCAACGACGAAATTTTATTTCTCTTTCTGAGCTTGAATATGGTCCCTTGAAATTCAGCTTTAGGAGGGTTCGCCTACAATTGACAAAGTAAGTGGGTAGGAATAATCGCTATAAAGACTGAAAAAAATAAACATCAAACCAGAAATTGCTCTCTTCAAACTGTAAATTATAAATGATCCTGAGAGAATATTCAGTGCGTTAAGGATTTCCCTGCTCTACTGTTAGCTCTATACAAGAGAGGAAGGGCGATTCTTTTTTAATTTCGGTTTCGCTGACACAGCTTTCGCAGAAATCTCGCTGTAGTCGTTTTCGTCGACAAAAGGAATAGCAAAATCGCTCTCCGCGTCTTCCCCCATTTTGTTCTGCGTCATTTCGTGAAGGACTCGTGGCTCTCAGCGTGGGTCATCCACGCGGAACACATTCGCGCTATGTGATTGGCTGTTGTCTAATCCCCCTTGAGATCTGTGGTGTTAAAAATAACTCGAGACGAATTACCTATGGAATAGGGTGTATATGGGGGATGCCCTCTCTGTCCCCTTTATAGTCTCTTGTTTCTTAGTTATGGTTCCCTGGAGACCATTTATAGGCCTCAGTCCTCTTATACATCACAATCACGTAGTCCTGACGAGACATCTTTACTCTCTGAAGAGGACAACATCCTGTAGAGATGGGTGGACCATTTCAACAGTGTCCCAAACAGGCCCTCTTCTATTAAGTTGAAGGCTCGATGCCTCAAGTAGAGATTCAAATTCCTTGGCAGAGCCTCAAGTAGAATCAGAGGTTCAGAACCAGTAACAAATTCACTTATAACTCCGCAGCACGCTGTAGTGGCCATGGCGAACATTTACAACCAGGTCAATTAACGCATTTCAAGGCCACCTAATGATCAGTTTTCGGATGACCCCGGGGGGGACTCCCACATGAAAGAGGGGGAGATGTTCGTCGGAAATTTCATATTAAACCCCTAAAGGAGACCAATCTGGGCGTGGCCCAATCTTTTTTTGACCCCTAAAAGAGACCATTTAAAACTTTGATTACATGAATCGAGTAAATAAAACGAATTCTTTGCGTGCAACCCTAAAAGAGACCTGTACGGCTAAATATAATGGCGTGTTGAACAGAACACCCTAAGTGAGACCAAAATCCGAAATTTACACCCCTAAGCGAGACTACGAGCATTCCCGCTCTTTTCATATGGGAGTCTAACTACAACTAACGGAAGGGGTACAAGGCAGTTTTACTGTTCACACTGCTACTAGTATCTCCAGTACCTTATGACTGTGAGACATGGACAGAAAAAGGCTTAACCGATTCCATCTGAACTGCCTCAGAAAACTGTTGAAGATCACCTGGCGTGACGAAGTCCCCGTTCTCTAGATGGCATGTTACACTCTTTTCAAAAGAGCCCAGGTTAGACCGGTTGGCCCCTTTTGTAATGATGCCTGACACACGACTCCTCAAACTGGGACTGTTCTAAGGCAAATTAGCGGAGGGGAAACGCTCACAGCCTTGGACAGAAGAAGCGGTACGAGTACTGTCTTAAAGCTTCGCTGAAAAGCTTTGATATTGGTGTTCAAACTTCGGAGACTCTGGCATTTGACCGACCAGCCTGGGTGCAGCAAAATCCACAAAGGCACTTTCCTGTTCGAGCAGAACAGAATGGCAGAACCTCAGATGAAACGATAGCTGCGATCGTCTAAAGTAATCTCTTTGACATCTGCCAAAGAAATTTACCAGTATCCAGAATACGAAGAGTCTTCTGCTTCTGTATCGGGTGGATCAGCCACAGCCGGAAAACACCGCACTTATTCCCTCAACTAGTAATGTTCTAGGTCATCGTCCACAACGGCGGACGAACACCGGCATAGAGGTTTCGCAATTCTCAACCTCTCACGGAATAGCAACAGTGTCCAGAAAAGTGTAGACAACTTGCGGTTAACTCAAAAATGATTGGTCAATGGTTAAAGAAAAAACACCCCCTTTCTCTACCGGATCCCGCGTCGTTTCGAATCTCACTTCCCCTAAGAATTTCCCTCGAATTTGGTCCTTCCATAACACGCTAAATCTACATCCTTGATCCCGAAAACCTAATGAGAATCCTCATATATTGTGTAGGTGTATTACCTACCAGGTTTGTTAGTAAGGGGCTGAAGGGGCGGGAAGGTGGGGAGGGGGGGGGGGGGTTCTAAATCAACATAGAGAATGTTATGGAATCAAGAGAGAATGGAATTTATAAGTTATTATATTATAGTATTATGCAATACAGTAAAACCCCGCTTGTAAACTAGTGATTAAGATCTGTTAGTAAAATTTGCCATTTTAATATCCCAGAATATAAGGACCTGTTTAGCCAAGCAAGATCAAACAGGTTCTTATATGTGGATTACTCTGATAATGATAAACATTTCACTTGAGAAGTTAGACTATAAGCACTGAGAAGTCTTTCTTGGCATTTGTTTGTTTATTTATTTGCTCATTCCACTCCTTTTCCCACTTATTTCTTTCTTTATTTCATTTGTGTTTTTTTTTTATTACTCAACTCTAGCCCTTGTCAGAGTAGCCTGGGAGCAGACACTGCAGTGAGGGAAGGGAAAATCGGCAAGGGCACCCGTTTCGTGCCTTTTACCCCCACTACGAAACCTGGTCCTAGGCTAGTTGTGCGGATAACATTACATAATACATTCTGTAATCAGGTTTGCAAGGCTTTCTCATAATACAGTTGTGAATAAATACCGTATATTTTCTAAACCCTTTGGAAGTTTATTTTTTTCTTGTAGTCAAAAACTGTATCTACTTTAAATAAATGTAAAATTAAGAGCCCCTTTAGCGTAAAATGCCAATAATGACCCCAAAATACAATAAACTTTTTTACCCGTCTTCAAAAAATGTAGGTTCTTACGCGGGGGTTTTTACTACAAAATGCTTTCCTTTGTTTCAGTCATCAAAGATGGTGTCCCCACAAGCGATGTCTTACAACATTTGTCCTTGAAGCTAGGGACATCGTGGAAGCCTTTAGCTCGGTGTCTCAAATTCGATAAAGCAAGTATTACTGTTTTTCACAAAGAGAACGAGGAATTCACAGAAAAAGCATTAAGTATGTTGCAGAAGTGGAAAGCGAAGTATGGTTCAGGAGCAACCTTCAGATTCTTGCATAACGCCTTATGTGATGAACGTGTATGCCAAAGGGAATTAGCAGAACAGTTTTGCTACTGTTAGTCAACATGACTCAACATATAAGTTTCCTCACTGAATCGTGTGGTAACAAGTTACATTAAAACTGGCTTACAGCTTAATTCGGGCTTGTTCAATTCATTTAACAGATTCTGGTCGGTCACGTGTAACTTAGATTGACTGGGAAAATCTGGTACATCGAGATAGCTAGAAAAAGTGTTGCTTTTCGTTTTGCTACCTTTATGAAGCTGTAAGCTGTAAATATTTCATGAAAATTTAGTTCTTGCTAAGAGGACCTTTGTGTTTCTTTAGACTGTTTACTTACAGTGTAGGAGTACCGTAAAATTTCGAAAATAAGCCCCGGGGCTTATATTTTTCAAAGGCCCTTTTTGAGGGGCTTATTTTTGGAGGGGCTTATCTACGGAGGGAAATTTGCGTCTCAAAATCGATTGGGCGAGCCTTACAGTTGGAAGTAATTTAACGTTTTTGCTTTGTTTTACTTTGTATTTGAGGGCAATTTTCCAAGTACAAGCCCCCTGGGGGCTTATATTCGGAGGGGCAATTTAACGGAGGGTTTTTTGCGTTACCAGTTTGGGGGGCATATATTTGGAGGGGCTTATACATGGAGGGGCTTATTTTCGGAATTTTACGGTATATGCTTGTAGTCGAAAGTATAGTCAAACCCCATTAATACAGACCCTGAGGGGGCTTTATAGAGTGACCAGGTTACTCAGTTTCAATTTAGAGGAAATGTAAATTCTCTTGGTGTGTCAGGATGGCTTTTTGGTGAAAAAATCCCCGAATTAGGCGTTGCGGATCGTTGCAACTGAAATCCTATGGACCCTTGAGCAATAAAGAAACCGCTTTTGTCTGCCTACAAAATCTCGACCAATCATTGTGCTTTTCTAGGCATTAGTCAGGCTGTCTCCACTTTAAATTTAATAGCGTGCCTTATTTTCCACCTAATTCAGTTGTACCCAATGCTTAAGCAATAAACATGTTTTTTTCTGAGAGACTAGTGGTCCTACACTGAAATAGTGGAGTTTACTCATCAAACTAACCCAAGTACCCCGCCACAGTACCCCTAAGAATCCCGAGCTTCTAGCACCTCGACTAGTGACGGACGTGCAAAATTATTTTGTTTAGCCGCCTGCGAGCTGCAGATCGACTATGCGCATACCGAACCTGGGACCAATTCCCGCCAAATCCCCGCCATTTTCTGGCTTTCTGACCGGACCTTCGGACGTTTCGTTACCATTGATCAACCACCGCGAAAAATTGTTGTGAAATAATTTAACAGATTCCCTATCCCTAAACTAAACTTTTAGGAGACTTTAATACATTTGTAAAGTTTAGGGATAGGGAACCTGTTAAACCATTTCACAACAAAGTGTTTACCTCGTTTACCGCCCTCGATCTACCCTGAGTTAAATCATTTTTAGATTGTCTCCCATCAACTGCATGGTCTGCAGGGCTAAAGGAACTGGAAAGCCAGAACGATTAAATCTGAAGCCCCAGGAAATGGTAAGCTGATTGTTAATTGTACTTTGCGCCATCGGCAAAGAAAGAAGTTTTGCGGTAACGGGAAAACAAATTTCATTTTCACTGAACTTTGCAAAAGTGAGCTAACTGTTCAACACTCCCCTGCAAAACTTAAAACTTACCTTATAAGCTTATTTTAACAATAAATCTATTCACTGATCTACTAAGAATCCAACAAACAAACCAATAAGTAATCAGGCAAAATAACAACAAAAACTGAAAAAGTTCTTCTGAAAAAAAGTTATCTTTTTGATGGCTCAGCTTAACTGAGCGAATCACACTGTTGGACTTCACTCTCACAGATGGAAACAAATCATTGAAAGGAAAACCAACTCTAACACCAAAAAGAAAAACAAAGTGTGTGGCCATGAACCCCAGCATACTAGTAGTATAATTGAGATCATAGAAACAGATCGCCTGTTCCAGGTGGTAGAGTGCTGCACCCGGAACGGAACGGAACGCCTGGAACAGGCTAAGAAACAGTAGGCAGCTAATTTTTTATCTTCTCATTCGCTTGTGTATTGAGCATTTTTTTGTTTGAGAAAAATGTAATGGGATGTAAATATTCACATTGTCTGCTTGAACTCTAGAAATCCAAAAAAGGAATGTAAAATTGTTAAGTATTAGATTCAATACCTCTTCTCTGTTTCCATCCATTTCTTACGATTACAAGTTTCCACCAATAAAACAAAACTCTTCCACCGAGTATAAAGTAATCTTGGGAGGGGGAGGCTTTAAAGAGGATTTACAGTGACTTATTGAAAGTATATATATTGTCATTGTCCTGCAAATAATTTGAAAATTTGGAAGGCAGTACATTTGTTTCTCAAAGCAAGTATTTGTTAAAGTGGATTTCTTCCATGTCTTCTGCTTTATATAAAGAACCCAAATCCACACGGATCATCAGTCCCTGAGCCCCAGTTATTCAAAAGATGGAATAGTAGTAATAATAGTGGCATGGATCCAGACCTTGAGGGTATTATAGGGGAAAGGTGCAGTTGCCTGTCCAGAAGCCCGCTGGAGGGGCCGGGGGGGGGGTGGGGAACTGGGAGTCTGAACCCCTTCTCTAGAGCTAACACAGAATTGCTTCCCTCACTCATTGACACTCTTCTGCTGGTATAAGATACAGTCTTCAAAGTGTCTATGGCTGTTAATGTTTTGAACCTTGCTCACTGCGTTGTCAATACAAATGGCATCAGCTTATTTTCCTTCTGCACTGCTTTCTCTGTGGTTGTTCTCAGTAAAGTGGCCTGTGAGGAATCCTAATTGGTGCCACACAGACCACCTAGTGCTATCCAGTCAATGCCTCATCCAAAGGCTTTCCCAAGGCTGACTGGGGAGTATAGACTAGCTAAGGGGTAAAGTGGGGGAAAATAGAAACAAGCACAGAGCATGAGAAGGGATTTTCATGTTCCACTTCCCACTTGTACCTCTCCCCTCACCTCTGTTACTCAAAATATCTATCCTTTTACTAAAATATCTGCAAACTAAGTGATCTCAAGTGACTGGGGACAAGAAAGGGAGATCCTACCCAGTTATATGCAATACAGAAGGGTTAACTGTGATTTGTCTAATTAAGTGCCATGCACCTTAATAAAAGCTGAAGAGCCTGATGGTGTGAAGTTCCAATGACAGTGTAAAAAATTTCAACCTTTTTTATTTGTATTAGAGCTCAGTTCTCAAATTATGGAGTATAATTACATTGTGTAAGTCAAAATAAATTAAATTTGCTAATTTCTTTCGCATTACTAAAGGAATAATCATCCCATAGTTCTTTGGTAGGAAAATAATAATAATTCGAAAAAGATATATATTATTCTATATATTTATATGCCAATGTCATATCTTAATACTGCAGTGCCTTTCAGTGACCTGCATGCAAATACTGAAGTTTAAAGCACAGCTTTATGAGTTCTTATTTTATACTAATTCAGCCACTGATCACAATTATTACTATTATTGTTATTATTATCATAACTACTATGCAACAGACATGGGCACCCCTCAAAACTGAAAACACAAAAATGATGAGAATGGATAAGATTTCCAAATCACAACTGGTAGAAAACAACTGCAACTTGTCTCCTGAAAAGAAAATGGCCTTGCTTGTTTCTGCAAATGTTTAAAGCTATGAGGGGAAACAACATCTACCCTAAAACAAAAACCGGCTAAACAGTGGCATAGAAAAATCTGGGGCCTGCTAACAGCTATGTATCCTAAACAACAACAGAATTACACTGCTTGCATTTTGAATGTATAGCAGAGCTTGCAAGGTACCAAAAGTAAAGTAATGATTATGTTTGTAAAATTGATACATGTTCTTTGTAAAAATAAATTATTAATACAATTCACTCACTAAGAACACATGTCAAATTCTCAGCCAAGGCCCCACAACCCCTTAATATTTGCCTGTTCTTTTCAATATAATAATAATAATAATAATAATAATAATAATAATAATAATAATAATAATAATAATAATATTTATTATTTGTATTGCACCTTTTCTATAAAATATAACGTCTTTTGTATTGCGCCTTTTCTATAGAATATAACACAACCTCATCAGAAGAACATAACATGAAATAACTCAGCTCTACTCCAACTAGTGGAGTTCAATAATTGAATCCAGAGAATTATGTATACCTGACTTTGATTTAAAATTGATAAATAGAACTAGAAACGTCAGAAATATGAAAACAGACAGATGAGGGTATAAACTGATGCTCTTCTTCCATTACTAACTAGAAAAGTAACAAAATTTTAGATGAATTTTGAGATGATTTAAACAAAATGTTTGCGACCAAACTAGAGTTTTTTTGCCCCGACTTTAAAGATGGAAGGACCAATTAAAACAAAATCTTCTCCCTGGTATCTTTATTCATTTTTTTTTTGTTTTTGAGCATTAAAAATTATTTTTGTTGTCTTTGTCCCACCTCTCCTATCTTAGGGTGGATATTGTCATAGGGGGTGCTAGGAAGAGAGTGAAAAAAACTTAGAGATCTTGCTGATACAGTCTTAAAAGATGTTGACGACAAAACTCTGGGGATGTAAATTCAGTCTCCACTGGGCACAGAGGACAAACATAGGGGGCTTAAGTATTATGGTGGCAATATCTAGACCAAAAAGGCAATAGGTTTGAGTAAAGATCTAGGAAATACAGTCGAGGCTCTCGTAAACAGACAGCTCTACTTATGGCCACCTTCACAAAACTCTGTTTTTCTCAAACTTTGTGTTTTTACATTCCTATTAGCAGCCAGCTTCAGTAACGGATGCCTTTTTCGCATCTTGAGGGTGCCTGCTTACAAGAGCTTCCACTATACTATAAGCATTTTCTTTTGTTCAGAAATACAGTAATATGCTTTTCCCAATCAGGAATGTTTTCATCATTCAAATCCCATAAGAACTGCAAACAGACAAACAGTGATGATTTCACTACTCCCACCATCACAATTAATTAAGGTCCCCACTATGTCAAGCTCACACCAGTTGTGTTGCTTCGCAAATTAACTAACTTTGAGTTTACTACCCACATTTATTGTTATCTATTCACTAACTTAAAGCTAAGAAGGATACTTGAACCTTCAGAAAGGCAGGTTTTAAGAAGTAGAGAAAAAAGATGTTATTTGCTTTGGTAGGAAAGGGGGGATACTTACGCCAAGTAAATCGATACCGTAAACTGCAGCTTCTAAGCCCTGGGCTTATCTTTGTCAGGGGTTTTATGAGGGTTTATAAACGAAAGGGTTTACATTCAAGTGGGCTTTTGCCAAGAATAGAAAAAGAGCTTTGAAAGAAGCTATAGCACTGCTGATCAACATGTATTGGTTTAACCCTTTAAGCCCCAGTTATCTACATACAAATTCTCCAAACTGATCTCTATACATTTCCTTAAAGAATGAGTTAAGAGAATTTGTTAAAAGATCAAGGCATTTTACTTAGGTGATCATTTTATTAATTCTCATAACTTATCTGTTGACAATGTATGGATATTGTTAGGAGAAAATTGATCTTGGTCACTATTGGGACTTAAAGGGTTAATTACAGCTGCATGCCTCAAAACGTCAAAATATGTAAGTATAATAGAGTTCTAAAGAGTGCCATCATAAAAAATTAAATTTGTTAAATTATGGGATTTGTCAGGATGTTATGAAAGAACAACATCTAAGAGCCCTACTTGCCAAAAACTAGCAATGTGGGGCAAATTATCACTGAGATAACCTGGATAATTTGCCCTGAAATGCTAATTTTTGGCAAGTAGGCATCTTGGGAGATGTTCTTTCAGAATATCTTGACAAATCCCATAATTTCACAAATTTGATTTTTAACGATGTCATCACTTTAGAACTCTATGCTCAAGAGGGGCTCATAACCAGGGGCTCATAACCAGGGGGAGGGGGTGGTTATAACCAGATGCAATTTTTTTTTACATGTAGATGGGCCTATAACTGGGGGAGGAAGATACTTAATTAGTTGGGGGGGGCGGGTGCTTCTAAGCAGCAGTTTATGGTATGTGGTATGTGTTTAACCCTATCTGGTGGCACAGAAAAAAATATACCTGGGAACAGCCATTCTGGTCGGCCCTACTGCCACCCGATGCAGCCAGCTAAAGATCATTTACATGACATTTTCTGAGGTATTGTCGAAATATCAGAACAACAGCCACCAAAACAGTCCCTAACAAAGCCAAATGCAAAACCACCATTTCCATGAATGTAATTATTTGATGTAAACGGCAATAATTGTAAATTGGAGACAGCTCAAGTTGCTCCACTTCCCACAGCTTGGCATTAACGTAGTGTAAATGAGAGACATCAAAATGGTGGCCTGCAGCAATTACCGAAGCCCAGAGACAATTGTCGTGATATGTGATGTTGTCATCGACCTGAAATCCAGGTATTTTTACGGGCTTAACGTTACTTGCTTTCGCCAGAACTCCTAGGTAAGCATCCTCAACTGGGAAGACTTTCCACGTTTGCATGCTCCGAAATAAAGATGGCACAATACTTGAGGATATTACGTAAAACGGTCCAGCAGAATACGGTGGAAAACGCTCTTCGGGGTAACAGTCTTTAGCAACAGCATTTGCATTTTCTTCGTCCTCGAATCTTCGAACGGGTGCTCCGTCACCATAAACCCGACCACCATAAAAATTCTCACTAGTTGATTCATTCAACCACTTCGTTAGGAGTGGTAGACGGATGTAAACATCGTCATCTGCTTTCAGAATAAACTGTGGCTTGACTTGCAGACAGGCCCAGCGAAATCCCGACAAAACTTTGATAATTAAATTATCGTAGTTATCCGTAGAGTTTAACACTAAAATATCATTGTAATAAAGGGCCTCGCGTCTTGTTTCCAATTCTATTTCTGGATCATCACTTCTGCCCAGAAGAAAAACATGTTTCAACTTTTTGGAATTTAAAGTTATGTTCCTTAGCCACGTGCGACGAATGGCGTTTCTGCGATCTTTAAAGGACCGCTTACCAACCCCAGACATGATAAGAGTAAGAAGAAATACTTCCTCGCGATCGTCGAAATTCGGTTCCAAAACTGGAGAAGCAAACGAGAAATTAAACTGCGAGCAACTAGACTGAATCATTGGCAACATAACAGAATCATCATTTCTGCGAGACGCAAACTTTCTTTGTGACAAAAGATTGTCCTTGAAATCTTTTAATTTGGCACCATGCAACAAGGGTGACTTGGAAAAGATTTCCGGTTCATTTGCTGTGGACGATTTCGCGTCAAAAGATGTCCTTCCCTGCACAAACTCGTGGTACTGCGATTCGAAATTGTTGCGAACATTCTGTTTCCGCTTATCATAAAAGCTCGCCAAAACAACAAGTTCCACTCCAATAATAGCAAGAGGGATAAATAACCCCATCCATTGCCTTTTTCCTTTCGTGAAGCAAGTTCGATTAACGATTGCTCGTAGCCGAATATTCATTTTCACACTCGTTCGATCAATGGGTTATCGTTCGATGTTACTTATCTGACCTGAAAAGTAACACGCGTCTTCTTTCACCGTTCAAGAACATTGATTTCCAGCGACCTTTGTCTTTGAATGTAGGTCCTTCTTCCTAAAACCATCTTTTCATTAACGAACCTCAGTTAGATTACTACCTAGCCTGCGAGCAAGCTGTCCTATTTGGGCAAGCGAAGCGAGCCTCGCGAGAACGCGCGAGCCCCTCGCGGCTTCGCCGCTCGCTCGCGCGTTCTCGCGAGACTCGTTTCACTCGCCCAAATAGGAGAGCTTGCTCGCAGGCTAATTACTACCTGGGATTGTCACCACCACAAAACAAACATGAAGCGGACATTTTAGTGCAAGCACAGGTAGCCCAAGCTCGAAGTATGAGCATCGGCGAACATCGGCATTGTAATGTAAGGATTTGTATGATTTGTATTGTAATGTAAGGATTTGTATGGCAGAAAAACCTATCGTTTCTGTAACCCGTTTATGGCCGTTTCATGGGTTTTTATGTAAATCTTTATATATAGAGACGGCCATAAATCGGATGCCGATGTTCGCCAATGCTCACATTTCGAGCTTGGGCTACCTGTGGGGTAAGAACTTCTTCTCCACCCCTCTCCCACAAGAGAGTCACTTCGGGGTAGGGTGGGTATTAGAGAGAATTTTTTTTTTAGCCACTTTGTTGTTGTTGTTTTCTTTTTCACCTGACAAATAAAAAAAAGGTAAATTACCAGCTCGGGAATCTTAAACTCGCTATGATAGCCTGCGAATACGAAAAAAAAAAAGGCAGAACCGCTTGTGGAATGTCAAAACACAACCGAGCCTACTACCCTCCTGAAAACATCTAGTGGTATTGCGTAAGGTAGCCATCTTGAGTTCAATTGGGAAATTTAAGAAACGCCTTTTAATTGCTGTATTCGTGTGTTTTGTGTACCTTTGTCATTGTCGTGCGATCCTTTGATATTGCAAAAATATAGCCTGCGTGGCAGGCGTTTGAAACGGAAGGGAAAGGGAGTTTTAGGCGCGAGAGAAACGCGCGTGGTCTCGCGCCCTAATTCCCTTCCCCTTCCCTTTCGAACGCCTGCCACGCAGGCTAGCAAAAATACCCTCAAGATTTTTAGAAAGGAGACAGTACGTGAGGTTTTACACGACCTGATTTGCTCGATGAAAAGGCTTGGTTCCATGGACACAAGATGGCGGACGGTTCCGTTCTTCGTGTCGTTGAATTTTACAGCGGAGTTGGTGGAATGCATTTCGCTTTGAAGGGTAAAGGTGAACGTTTATAGTGCTATTTATTTAACTGGTAATCGTTGTGAGCTACACATTGATCATTTACATGTTCTATGGCTATTGTTTTAATACTGTCCCTCTATGCTGATCAAGACATGCCATACGTTAGAGGGCCATACATGTTTTGTACGGACGTAAACATGCACAAGTGGCGTACTAGTCATGATGACTGTTTACAGAACGAGAAACACAAATTAAAGTTTTGACTTAAAGTGTTAGACAGAACTGAGCAATGTATATGTTCAGTTGTGGTTCAATTCTATCCTTGGTTTAAATTTTTAGCTATAAAAAATTGCATAAGAACTTTTCGTAAAAGCATTTTAAGAAATTTTAAGAAAGTTAAAAATATACGACGTTTGAACGTTCTTGGACGTCATTATCAAGTGAAAAAAAAATACAGTATGGATACAAGGAAAAAAAAATAGTTCATTAAAAAGAAAAGTAACATAAGAATATGTTGTACAAGTTAAAGAAAGTGTTTAAATCTAATGGATTGTCTCTGAGTATTAAGGCTAGGCCTAAAGTTCTTTGATGAATAGCATTTTGTAAAAAAGGTAGTCAAATTTTCTGTGGCATTTCTTAAGAATGCAAAACTGACTCTCATTAAGAAGATTTTTGTCACCATGAGCTTCTGAAAAAGGTTCACCGATAGCTTAGTATGTGTGTTCAGCAATGCGTGGATGAAGATGTCGGGCTATGTAGCCAGCATAAACCACATCACATAGATCACATGCAAATTTATAAATAATGCAATGCTGACTCACAATACTCTGCTTAAGGTCATGCTCTAATTTTCGGCCCACAAAAATACCGGTAGACTGAAAGTGACAGCAATGTTATTGCTGAGATCATGCAGTTGCCTACGGACTGCATTAACGGCTATAATTATTATGATCTTTGACGGGAAGATCTATTCTAATTGTGTTGCCGTCATCGGTTTATTTTCTTTGATTTGTGTTTGGGTATAGTAATGTATGATAATTACGTTTTAACAGAAGGAAATACAATTTAAACCAAGGATAAAATTGAACCACAACCCATTATTTTAGGTATAGGTTTTAATAAACAAGTGGAGGCACATGCACATTTTAGTGGCCAATGATGGTGCGATTGTCTATCCAGTTTAGAGTCTAAAAGAACAAGAAAGCTACATTACATATAAGATATGTTTTTATAATAGTAGCTCAGCAGTTCGGTGGCTCTTCAGTCGGGACTGGCAATCTGTCAATCCACTTGAGTGATAATTTCATTTTATTTCACTTGTACACAAACCATCAAGCCACTCAAAAGAATAATACAGTTATGTAGTTCTTTCAAATGTTGCTCTGTACGATTCTGTAGTTGATTATATGACAGACTACCGGACAATGTGACTGCATGAACTGAAAACACATCATTTACTAGATCACTCTGGGACCACGGGAGCAGTTGACTGACATTGGTTTTAGGTGGCCTCTTATTCTGAAGTAATATTGTTCCAAAGAGAAGCCAACTTTAAATCTTTGTTCAGTTGAATGACTGCTCCTGCAGTCTTGCAGTCCTCAGGGGCACTCAACATCAAGTTTCAGAAAATATCTGTTCGTAAGACGATTTGAGATCTGTTGTGAAATTTCTTTTGGAACATCTAAAAAATGGAATAATTGCCCATTTTTAACAGATTTTTACCCTAAAAAACCACACCTACAATTTTCGGGAGCCTTATTTTCTGGCTGAAATTTAGAAAAGGTAAGTTTTGATCCCTATAATTTTTGGATCACTAGACTTTCAGCTTGATAATCCGAACAGATGAGAAATTTTTAGGGGACAAAAATATGCCCATATCTATCGTAAATACTAAAATACTGAACTATATCATTTTTGGGTGCCCCTGAGTCCTGTAGACCTGTAATTGATGTGGCTAAATTTAATTTAGGCAAAGTTAACCTAGACGCAATGCTCGTCACCAGTTTTTCCAGTTATACTAGGGGTGGCGCGATACCTCTAGCAGGGGCTCCTCGTGACTTATATATGCAGTTGCTTGCTTGCAGTTTTTCGCAAAGTGTTGTTGCAATAACAAAAAGGTGCTTTTTGAGGCACTTTTAAAGAGGAAAACCATAAAACGTTTTGTCACGTGCATCCTGAGCTTATAATAATATTATTATAACCTGAGTTCGCTTGCAAGTTTGACCTAAGACTCACATTAACATGATTTGTTTCTCATTTTTTTTACTGCTGAGTGGCTGCTAGGGTCTTTTATTTATTAAAATAATGTAAATTGAGAAATTTTGGACTCTGAAGTTGGTCAATTATTTGGGCAAACTAATAGAAGGTGAAATTGTTATGGGATGACCTCTTAAAGGTTATCTTAACATCATTGTCAATGAATATGACAATTGTTATTCAGAATATGGGTACTGGCTGGCACTTTTAGTGCCAATCTGATTGCTCTATCATTGCTACTTGTTGTACATCTTTAATCACCATAAAAATAAATTGCTATTACCATTGTCACTGCTATTCCCATCACTGCCATGCTACTATAATAAAATATTTGCCACTTCTGTTACCATATTACCAGTCCTGCCATTACCATAACCACGTGGATTACAGTAGTCACATTATTGTAGCAATTGTATGACTTACATGTGTATTCATATTCAATGCAGGTTGCAGTTTCCCTAGTGAAGTAGTAGCAGCAATGGAAATCAACACCACAGCAAACCAAGTGTACCAACTTAATTTCAGTGACACAAACTTGCTTCAAAAGAATATTGAGGCGAGTGGACTTAAATTTTATTAACTCAGTCTGTTTAGTTCAAAATGTCTGATTTTACAAGGGAAAGAACCTGGATTGGGAATGCAATTTTGATCTTGACCCTTTCAGAATGCCTTCAAAATGTCTCAGTATTGGAATACTTATAATGGATGTTTTTGTGTTTAAGTCAGAGTAGGTTATTTTGCCTTTATTTGACTGAAAAAATGCTTGCAAGGGGTGGTATACCTACTGTATCTTTGTTGCATGTAACTGTGATATAAAATACGATTTGCACTGCACTGCACCCTATAATTTGACTATAAACTTATCTTCAATCTTTCTCAAATTATGTACAGAACATTGTGTTACAGATTACTTTTTATAATAAAGTAACAGTTGAATGCTGCAAAAGAGGCTAAGAGGTGTATTAAATTTAAAATGTGTTTTAGGGTTTGACAGCTCAAGAGATTGATAAACTATCAGCCAATGTGTTTCTTATGTCACCTCCATGTCAGCCTTTTACAAGGTAGATATCTTTAGTGGCTGCCCCTTATGTTCTTGGGAGTTGCGCATGTATGTTGACTTTTTCAACAGACTAAGCTACACAGAGGTTTTAGGACTTTTCACACTCCAATAATAATAATTGTACTTCTATTACGTACCTAGAACTGCAAACTAGCATGTATGAATATTGAAATTTGAGATATCAACCAGGTGCTTGAACAAGTTCTACATGTATAATCAACACCTGCCTTTGGAAATAGAGGACACCAAAAACTTCTTGTAGTATTTTTTAATAAACAAATTGACTGTAAAACAAAATGAATGTAATCAGCCTTCCAGTTAATTCTTTTAAGCAGTGGGGAGGATCTTATAGACCATTTGAGGGGTCACCAAGACCACAGCATGCTAATTTTTTTGTTATATTTAACTTAAAATACTTATACATGTATGTCATCTGTTTAGTCAGGAAGCCGTCTCCATTTGGTCATTGACCCAAGACCTGTCTCTTACCTGGAACACTCTGTAATTTTAGCTAAACACTTGTATTTAATTTTTACGATTAATTTATTCACATGGAGCTGTGTTTTTTACTCCTCTTTAGTGTATCATATATATTGAGTTGGCATGGTTTACATTAATTGTATTTCCTTATTGAAAAATGATGTCAAGATGTCATTAAAAATATAATTCTCTGTAATTTGTCGATTTGAGGCTTTTAACTAGCTTGGTCATCAGTGGTGTCAAAATGTCATTGAAAATGCTCTGTGATTTTGTCCATTTTGGTTTTGAAAATAATTTTGTTTGATCATCATAATCGTTATTATGTTGGTTTTTAACAGGGTTGGTCATCAAGGTGCATCAAAAGATCCCAGAATGAAAAGCTTTCTTCACATTCTTGAGCTTTTACCTAAGTAGGTCAAGAATGCTTTTGTGATATCCTTCATGTACATGACTGTATTATGTTGTGTTGAATTTTATCGTTGGTCTAGTTTTAATTTTCCTGCATTTTTTTGTGCGTGTGTGGTAATGCATGTCAATGACAGTAATTCAACAAATAAAAAAGGAAAGAAAAAAAAAAGGACAAAAGAGAGAAAAAAAAATCAAATAAAATTGCCTGGCAATGAAGCATATAATTTTTTTTTTATTGATTGTTTCGAACAAATGGCAGTTTACAGTGTATTTTGATGTTGTTATGTTTAGTATCATTTCTAAAAAAAAAAGTCAAATTATTAAACTATGATGTGCACTACTTTTACCCCCTATGTTTGTTTATAAAAAGTTTATACAGTTCTATAATTTGCAAACTTGTTTTAGATTGGCTAAACCTCCTGATTATATCTTGATGGAGAACGTCAAAGGATTTGAGTCATCAGGTACAAGGTACACTGTACACCACAAAATTTGCTGTTGATTATTTAATAGTTGATTACATGTTACAAAGAAATACAGTCGGTATTAAGCAGGTTGAATTTAAAGAAAATGTAAGGGCTCTCTTTTCCTGGGGACAAAGCAAATTTATGGTCCAAAATAATGAGGTGTTCATGTTAAGCGTGTGCCCGTAAAGTGGGCATTGACTGCACTTCTATATAGACTTAATATTAATTCAATGACTAATTAAATTGTCTTGAATTGCTTAGGGAACATTTTGTGGGAACACTGAAGGCTTGTGGATACCATTATCAGGTGATCAGTTGAATAATAATTTATAAACATACAACGTTTTATGTTGATCACGAGAAGCCTTCACATGATTGGAAGTTATTTGGTAGTTTACAGCCTTACTTTAAAACTATGAAGGTCTTTGGTCTGATTATAAAAATTTTAACATCTATTTTTGTTTTGTTTTGTTTTTGTTTTTTTTTGCAGGAATTCTTGTTATCTCCAATTCAGGTATAGAACTTGGTGAACATATACTAGCTAGATCAATAAAAGTATAGTAATGTATAAGTAGTGATAAACGTTGCATTCTGCTTTTGATATCCTCTGAACTCATAAGATTCCTGGCGCAATCAATAGTTTGTTTGTTTATTTTTTCATACTACATGTATGCAAAAGCCAAAATGAAACTACAATATGACTTAAAATTTATATCAAGACCAGTTACAACTGTAAGTGAACTTCAAGGGTGTTTAAAAATCCTTTGAACGATGGGTCTCGAGGGAGAAATTTATTTTTCTTGAAGTTTCCTGACCCTAAGCAGGTTAAGGGGAGCATTCATGACATGATTTGTTACATAGACCACTAACAAAAGATTTTATGTGTAAAAATTTGTGAAAGTAAATCTCTGCAAGCTGTCAACATTCCCAAGTAACATTGCTCTGTTACCCTTTGGTGTCATACGTTGTAGATTTTGAAGATTTACCCACTCAGGAATTAAACTTTTTGTGGGAAACGGTTCTATTGTGCGTGTGTGTGTTCTATTGTGTGTCATTTAGCCTAAGTTTAGTTACCGATGAGAACGCACACTGTTTTGAAGAAGAAGAAGGAGTGCCTTTATTTACCATACATTCATACAGGTGACCTAAATTACATTATTACAAGGCAGCAGAGATCAAGCATGTTCTTATGAGCTTTTAGACAATCTCTGCTTTATTCTAAATAGATGTAAAGAATATCAGAAGGCGGCCTTCCTGTTTTTACAGATTGACTATTGGTTGGTTGTAAAAATTAATGGTCAGTTGTAATTACCAAGTACAGCAGCTATAGCTGTGATATGTGTGTGTACATGTAGTGTACTTATTATCTTGACTGTTCATTTCAGTTTGGAATCCCGAACTCTCGATTGAGGTACTATCTTTTGGCCAAAAAGAAGCCGCTCCAATTTTTCTTCTCAACCCGTGATAAGGTATTTATGCCCATATTTATGACATGACGATGTGAATTGCGGAAAGCAAATTTAAATGACGATGTGATTGTTGCAGTTGTAATAGCAATTTAACCAATTTCAAATTAACCTGGAAAAAATTAATTCATTCCTTTCACTAGTTAAGGCAACTGGAAAATAGGCCACTTCCGAGTTCCAAAAACCCTCACTTTCAAAATGAGGCCAGGTGCACAACCTTTTCTGTGAAAATGAGTTTTATTTGCATGAGAATGAAAAATGATTTCCATATCAAAGGCTGAGCACCTACCCTCGTTTTGAAAGAGAGGCCCGGGCGAACTCGGAAATGGCCTGTTGACCCGCTCACAATGTGTGGGTCTTCATAGCTCAGTTGGTAGAGCATTGCAGCGATATCGTAGAGGCCATGTGTTTGAATCCCGTTGCCCCCCCGGGTTTTTTTCCAGTTTAATTTCCAAGAGCGCAACTGAAGCAATTTTTATATCTTCGTTTAAACTAACTATCATAGTGTCTTTCTCGGAATGTGCACACCCATATGGCTCTGTCCACACTTCAGAAGCTGTAAGTTTCAAAGCTTTTTTGATTGCTTAGAAACTGGCGCTGCAAATCACTTAGCGTAATTATGTGGCACCAAAGGAATCTCGATCTTACGAATGTTCAATTGAAAATCGTTCTGACATGCACTATATAAGATATTTCTGTGTTAGAGCTTCTGTTCGCGCTGCGGGACGTATATATATATATTATTTTTTGTTTTAAGTGCATATTGTTACGATGCCAAACAGACAGATCTTTGGCATAGAATCCTATGCATTTTTTTATTGTTACCGTATAGGTGAGGTAACCCGCCTGTCCAAATAATCTCTCTTTTTAATTTGATCACGTTTACATGATAAGTGAGGTGTCCCGCCACATGTTACCTCACCTATCTGGGGTCCCCCAACTCCATGTAAACAGGCCCTAAGATACAGTACTTAACTTGCACTTGATGCATATCCTTTTCCTTGATTCCAGATTATGGAGACCCTACCCTCATATACAACACACAGCTATATGACCTTGGATCAAAATTTTCAAAGTGACAACGAAAGGCCCGTTGGATCACTAGCGATGGCAAGTGAACCTAGGGCAGTTAGCGACAAACAGGGAACAACGCAAGAAAGCGTTATGAACAGTACTGACAGAAAAGACAACTCTGTATGCGTTACGTGTCTCCAAGCTAGAAGTGAAGGGAATTTATGTGCAGAAGACGCTGTGTTTAATTCCACAGAAACTTTTAAGCCTTTGAACTGTCGAAGAATTGACAATTTCCTCGAAAAAAACAAAGATTATAATTACTATGAAGAGTTTATGTTACCAGATAAAGTTTTGAGCAAATTTGCTCTTGTTTTAGGTAAGTACGTTTGTTGTCGATGGTCAGTGGCGGCGATGCCTTTTACCTTTTCTTTTTGAAATAGGCGATTCCCTGTCTAATACTCAATACCATCATTGCCAAACCTTTTTTAAGGTAATGTTACACGCGACAATTTGCAACGACGATTTTTAGCGCAACACAGCCTTGCAATGTTGAAACAATATTGCAACCATTGGAAACAATGCCGCAATAATGTTGCTACGTTGTGTTGCGCGCGTTAAAAATCGTTTGTGTGAATTGTCGCGTGTAACATTAGGCAAAAATACATTATTTTTGAAATAGTCTTTTAAGAACGGAAAATGGCCACCTGTTAAGATGTATCATTTATTAGAGGCTGTTAATCATAATGAGTACTTGAATTTTTCGGAATTTAGGCGGGTCGGCGTGGTTTTGCTGCGGTAAGGGAGAGAGTTCAGCATATCTTGCCCCTGAATTTAATTCTGGGTTGTGAAGTCCCTGTTTTTATGAGAATCACTTTCAATAACAGTTCGAAAATTTTTCTTAAGTGTCTTGTGAATAATCGTTTGTTTGCAAAAGGGAAAATTGCGGAAACAAGGGGCGATAAGAGATGACTGTGTTGGGAGGATATTTTTGACTTGTATGGGACCATTGATTAACGTGCAAGACTGACTAATGTGGGTCTGTTGTGCACACAGGATTGAGACAGTGTTTAACGAATACCGTTATTGATTTCAATTTTGCCAGCCCTTACATGTATATCTTACTAAAATTTAACACCTAATTCACAAAGTATATCTCCGGTGCCCGGAGTTGAAATTAATGCCTAGATGTTTACGATCTGTTTTCTAGTGCTAGTGGCCTCATTCCTCCGTTTTATTGGAGCGCAGGTAGGCCTAGTCCAAAGGTCGTGAGTTGAAACGTCGCTGGGTCAAAAAACACTTTCTCTGATGCCTAGAAAGTACTGTTCGGAAGGATTGATAGAGTTTTTCGCTTCTTAGCACTCACAATGTTAACACAAGTTCATTTTCATTGTAGCGTGCCTGAATCCAAGTATCAATTTTTATAATAGTCGAAATTGGTCGCAATGATCCAATGCAAAAATCGCTGCACGATTAATATTCTCTTGTTTAAATGAAAATTAACCTGACTAGCCTCGTTAGAGATAATATAAACTCTTGTGAATTCTGTATTGGAGAACGAGGCTAGTCATGCAAATTTAAGAAAAGAATATTAATTCAGCCGCCATTTTCGCATTGGGTCTATAGTAAGCTCTTTACTAGGATGAAAAATGGATAATTTTGCTTTGTCCACCTCAGATATTGTGACACATCAATCCGATCGTTCTTGTTGCTTTACAAAAGCGTAAGTATTCCTCGCTTGAAAGTGCCGCATAACAATTGACTTTTTTTATTGTAAGTGTGTCAATTAAAGATTGTTGGAATTGTTGTTGTTTACTGCCCTTTTCTTTTGTGAGTATGCATGTAGGAACCGGCTCTAGGCCCAGGTGAATCAGCTCAATGTGGTATCTAAGGCATCAGAATAGATAGAAACTTTTCTTCTGTTTGTTTAGTGTTCAGTATTAAAAATAACCCTGCAAAGGATCCCGCTTAGGTTGTTAATTCAACTGCAAGGAGCATTTCTACTTTCATATCTTTATCTGCTATTCATTCAGTGATAAGTTCCTTGTTCTACTTTGCAACTCATACTCTGTTACATCCATCTCCTCACAGGTATGGACATTACGCTGAAGGAACAGGCTCAGTTCTCAAAATGGCAGATATTGATGTAAGATTCTGATGGCTTTTGATAAAACGGTACCGATATCACATTTACAAGGGAAATTTCGCTCTTTTGTTAACACCGTTTTAGTTATCGCAAGTAATAGCTTGCCATTCCTCTAGCCTCCTGTATTCCTTTATAAATTATGCTCAAGCAAGCAGTCCCAACTAAGAATGGCAGAGAATGGAGAGAACAGCAATTGCAATGGAAGTTAAGTACATTTATAACGAAGTTGGCATACGTAAAGAAATAAAAAGTGAACCAATTTCGTTCGTTGTCCCAGGGTGAAACATAAATCTCTGCTTTTTTTTTTCTTTAAGAAAAATGTGAAATTTATTATGTCTGCTAATGTCAGTCGTTCGAGCTGGAACCACTGAGTTATGGAAAGACTCACACTATTAAAGCAAGACCGTTTACAGTTTCATATGTAGTGAACACGTTCTGCCTACTGCTAGGATTAATTTCGGCAACGTCTTTTGGTTGAAAATAAATATTGACATGATCTCACAACGATCTATTTTGAGCCTATGGTTGCAAAAAAAAAAGGGTTTTACCTGATTGTCTTCAACTTTATTCTGTTGATCTGCAGTTACTTGTTTGCTTTTGCTAGTTTGCTAGATTAAGTGGTTTGCTATTGCCTTCTTAGGACACAGAGATCTTTAACAGATACAGAGATCTTAAGGATGGGGAACAGAAATCTAAATTGCTGACTGTGTTGAAGCTAAGGTACTTTACTCCGCGCGAGGTGGCCAATCTTCACGGATTTCCTGCTGAATTTCGTAAGTTTAAACTTCCTTAGCCCGTTCACACCTAAACCGCCTATAATCAGTCGCCAGTGTGGATCCACTTCCCTTGCATCACGTATGACGTCGTCAACTTAAATGATGATAGACAGATTTTACGCGTGACCTCTGTAGGTGGGCGATATCTTTCCAACAATACCCAGTCAAAAGGAAACAGTTTCAATGCCTAAATATTGCCTTAAATGACAAAACTGACCATTATTTTGGGAATTCATGCGAAAAATATTTTAGCTTTTTTGAAAGGTAGCAAAGAGCGTGACGTGGCCCAAGTGATGATGACTTGCATGGAAGTTTGGCCTGAATTTGGTCCAAAATGTAATACAATATGTTCTTTTCGATCCAGGCTTCCCTCCGTCAGTGACTGTCAAACAACAGTATCGCCTGCTGGGAAACAGTCTAAATGTTCACGTGGTGTCTGAGCTCCTTCGCTGTCTGTTCCAGGTCCCCGTATGTAATGTGAACAGTAGTGACCAGTGACCTCTGAACTCAGAAACGTTGTCAACGGTTAGATTATTAAACCCGTGAACGGCCCTGTCTCACCAGATTTCCTTTTGGAATTTGGACAATACTACTAGTGTTAATTGTAAGTGTTGGGATAATGCTGAAAACCGTTTTGAGCCAACTTAAAGGGACTATGCCATGGTGAGTTCAGCTTTTCTTGATAGAATCTGAGCTTAAGCTAAGTATTGTATTGTATTTTACATGGAACTGTAAAAGCCGAGGAAGATACCAAATGATTCCATCAAAGGGAAAGCAAAGTATGATCGCTCTTTTGTTATTATTTTTTCGTCAACGCAGGCGTTTAGCTTGAAAACGTTGGCCCAATTTTTTAAGTTGCAGTCCTTTTTCATCATGGCCATCGAAAGCCACAGACCGTTACTAATGCCTGAAGTGTAGTACTTAAGAAAAATAATTTAAAATAAAACTGAACCATTATTTCAGGGTTTTCTTTGATTCCAGTGTGTTTTAGAGTTGTAAAGTAACACCAAAAAATCGTGACATAACTTCTTTAAGGGCTACCGAGGTTAAAGGAGAATGGACTGTTTGCAGTGTCGTTGAAGATTGGTGTTAGGCACTAGAGCTCGCTCTGTTAACTATAGTAAAGTACTAAGCTAAGTTACAAGAAAAGTAAACTACTGGTATTAGGACTAATTCCAGTTTAGTCTGTCATCGTACAAGTGACGAGATCGAGTTGGACCCCACTCAGTCCGATTACCATTACAAATCAGGGTTACCGATAGCTATGGTTAAACGTGCTAAGGAAAAGATATTCATATGCATGTCTTCCTGACGTAAAGGTCGAGATAAATTAGGAAATAACAAGAACACGGTTACAGCGGCATTTAGGTCTCGTCTGCTTGGAGATTAGATCGAAATAATTCTACAAGAAAAATGATTTACTCGCTAAAGGTATTTTACTTCCTACTTTATCGACGTCGATACTTTTTATTTGTTTCTGAATTGAATTAGTACGCGTGTTAGCGACGACCAAAAATACCTCTGCGGTAGCAGCCTATACGCGTGTATAAATACACGAAAATTCAAGGGCCTCGATTCCAGAGAAATTACATCATTGCTAGATATCGAAAAAGTGATTTACATGGCACGTCATTTCAATCGTCGAAAATAGCTCTGGAAGTACCCCCC